AGGAGAGAGAAATGGTGATGGCAGAAGATTTGACTTGGGGTGTTGAACACAATACAATATACAGATGATGTATTATAGGCTTGTACACCTGAAACCTATATAATTTTATTAATGATGTCACCTCCATAAATTCAATGAAAAAGCAGTATCAGATATGCTAGCAAACTGCTAGTTTGTTTTTGAATGGAAATGTACAACCACTCCCTTGTAAGCAGGCTAAGAAGAAAAATTGAGAGAACATGTTTAAGCTGTCCATTCAGACCTTGGGCTACCTGGCTGGGATCCCAGCCCTAGAATACACTACCCATTTGATATCTGTGTTTCTGTCCCCTACCATCCTATGCACAGACTCCCCACTGCGGTCCCAGCCCATCCTGTGCTCATCACTAGTTTCCTCTCTGGCAATGAGACACAGAGAAAGATAGAGTGCTTCTCTCCTACAGCCGACTGCCAGATGTAAACTGGGAAGTAAATGAGTCTTTGGTAGGATGAGCCTGGGCCTGGGGGAGAAAAGGGGGATTGGGTCTAAATGGATTTCTCAAATCAGGATACATTTGATTTTTTTATGTCATTTTTTATGCCCTCATGCCCCAACCCAATGGTTCTCAAGCTTCAGAGAAGAGAGCCTGTTACACTCAACCAGAAAGGCGCAATTCATTAATGCAACATTTACTGAGTGGCTATTAGGTGTTAGATGTTACTAGGGCATTATTCAAAGATATATGAGAGAATTCTATGTCCTTGAGACAATCAAAGGGCATTGAAGCAACCCATCAAAGTTACTCCTCAGGCAACTCAGAGACAGAAGAGGAGTGGAGATAAGATTACATCTATGCCCCTGATCCTTAACTAACATTGACACTGGAAAATTATCTCTTCCCATCAAAGTTAGGCCACTGCTGTTGGCCATTCCTTGGATTCTCTGAGTCCCTATTTTCTCAACAGTGGAGTCTTGTCAGTAAAGAGCTTAAAAAATTACTATGATTAAAGTATTGTCCTTACATAGTAAAAGTCTTTAATGAAGCTCTTTAATGAGGCATCTCACTGTGTTACCTGATGAAAACTGCCTTTGGGCTCCTCTTGCCTGAAATGCCCCCTCCCCAACTGCACTTGCTCAGCTCAGTTGTCAAAGCCCCCAAGAAGCCTTCACCCTCTATTCTTTTCTCCCACAGCACTTTGTACCTCTTACAGCATACTTATCACATTCTCCTGGATGTCACAATCATATGTGCATGTGGCTTAGCTCATCTGCTGGACAGTAAGGCCCTTGAACTAACTCATTTTCATCCCACCCTGGCAACTAGCTTGTACCTTGTGGGGACTCTAAATGTTTCTTGATTTGAAATTAAATTGTATCATCTGCTTTTCTCAATCTAACCTCAAAAGTCTGTATGACAAGACTTCTTGGTCCTCAAACTAGTTTTAAAATGAAGTTCTCCTGTTTTAGAACTTAAAATGATACAATCAATACCTCTGAAAAAAATTGGAAGCATTTTCCTTTATCACATTGCTTAAAGGAAGGCCCAGTTTTGTCTTTCACAACCTTGCAAAACCAGGTCAAAGGTAATCTGGAACATTTTATAACCTCTCTGGACCCGAGTCTTGCAATAGAAAGCATCTTTAACTGTTACTAAAGCCTGTACAAGAGCAGTGGCTACACTGTGGGAGCCTTCCATGGCCATGTTGAGTCAGACAGTGTAGACCTTGCCAGTAAGCTGGTGGAGACCTGGGTTACCTCTCTAGTAGAAGAGCTAGTTTGGTGACAATATTAAGGGTATCATTAATGAAAACAAAGCACATTCACTATTTTGGGGGCTCTTTTGGATGTCTTCACAAAATATCCTATGTTGTATGAAATTATGCTTTCCTGTCTTCCTCATATTCTACATTTGGGAAGTTGCCTGAAAAACTGCCAGACCAACACGTTGGTTTCGATCAGCAAAACTAATACAGGCTCAAATAGGTGAAGGCAATTTTTTCTGTGTGATTATTTATACTACACCTTGCCACGGAGAAGGATCCTGAAATGCACTACAGGGAGTAGGTCATATTCTCTGGGAGATGGGGGCTTCTTGCCTGATTTGGGGAAGCGTTTGTGAATCTTTGACTTTTGGTAAGTATAGTAAATTCTGAAGAAATAATCAGGTACTGAAATTCCTGATAGGGTTGACCCCTTGCTAAACTTGACGGAGTCCCTCAAATTTATGACAACTGGATCAGTCCTCATGATAAATGCCACTGTCCTGGTCCTTTATATAAACTTCAGAATCTGACACAGTTGGAACGCAAGAGGTTTTACTAGCTCAGTCTAGAGCTCTGAGGCTGAGGTTCAAAGAGTAGAATCAAACCCTACTGAATTGTCACCACTCCAAAGGTTCTAAAACCCTCATCTTCATGTAACATGTTCAGATGGTCTACCAGGATAAAAAGTGCCCTAGAAGTGAGAAAAAAAGTGAGTTCTGTCCCTAGCTCTCTGTTGCTAACTAGCCATGTGACCCCAGGCAAGTGATACCATCCCTCTGGGACTTTGTTCAGCTATGAAACAAGTGGAAATTAGACTGATCATTTCTCAAAGTCTGGTCCTCAGACCATTTGCTTCAAAATCATTATGGGAGGGAGTGAGGCTTGTTATAAACATATACATTCCTGGGCCCCATCACAGTCTTCCTGGATCAGTGTTTTTTTTTGGGGGGGGGGAATAGGGTTCAGGAATCAGTGTTTCAAAATAAGCTAGTTTCCCAGCTGTTTCTTATGCTCATTAAAATCTCTTTTCTAAAGCTTTTTACTGAAGTATAACACACTCACTAAAGTTGGAGGATTATAGGATTAGGATATCTGTAAGATTCCTTCCAACTTTAAAGAATTCTAAGAATTAGTCAAATCAACACATTTACACATGAGCACCTTTACTCAGCATGCGACTTTGGACTCCGTGTTACCTCCTTTGCAGGGACCAATTCCTGTCAGAGTGTAATTTGGCACGGTGTGCAGCAGTCCCTCAGTGATTTGGAAAAACTGAATGTTTTGCAAAAGTGTGGCCTCTCTCAAAGGTCAGTTTACTGCTAGAGTACATCACGAGCCCACTGGGAAGCCTGGTTCAAGTGTGGGCTGAATGTTGGAATTACACTTTGTTCCCCATGTACAATGACCTAAACATAATGCCCAATGGCAGAGGGCTGTTGCCTGGGTGGAGATGGAGATATCTGGTTGTATTTCTGACCCGAAATTCAGAATCAAACTATTATAGTCGTTGAAACCTAAGCTTCTTTGTCAACAAAGCTCCCAGTCCTTGACGTTCCTCACAGGGGGCCTGGGATACAGTCACGTGCTGCATGACGACCGTTTGGTGAGCGATGAACCACATATCCGCTGGTGGTATACTATATATACTCATCTTTCTGTGGGTGTGTAGTAGGCTGTGCCATCTAGGTTTGCACACATGCACTCTATGAAGTTCACACAATGACAAATCACCTTACAATGCATTTCTCAGCACGTATTCCCGTCATACAATGCTGGGCTGTACTATGTAGTTTAATAGTTTTCAAACCCTCCTGAAGTGGTACAAAGACCCCTGCACTAATAACTTCCCTCTGAATCGACTGGTAAAGTAATAGATTTAAGAGAGTCTTCCGGTTACTAAATCATGAAGTTGTCTCATTTCCCAGGCAACTAGAAACTATTGGGAGTTTTCTTGAAAGGATTGCGTGCCCTCCAAATAACTTCACTGCCTTTAAAACTGCCCCCCTGTTTTTAAACTTTCATATAACGCCTTTATTTCTTGGGTTTATTTTATGCCCCATGAAACAGATGTGTTCACAAGTGAACAGACATCTCATCTTTCTGTGACACTAGGCGAACTGCTTAGCTCGCCTCAGTTTCCTCAGCTATGAAACGAAGGGGGGAGCAGATGAATGCTTGAGCCCTTCCAGCTCTAATGCTTACAGCCGTGTAGAGGAAGGAGCATGGCCCAGGGAAAGTCATGGGCCTTGAGGCTGGAAAGACGTAGGTTGGCATTTCAAGCCTCATTTCCCTCTGTTCTATAATGGGGTAATGCTACGTTATCTCTCAGGGTAATCAAAGCATCCATCATAGGGCGGAAGGGCATCCCAGAAAGGTGAGGCTCCCAGCTCACCTTTCCTCCAGGTCTTTCAGCCCACACCTGGCTACCTCCTCTTTACTAACAGGGTGAGAAGCAACTGCGGGTTCTTATTCAAGTGGAGAGACAAGCTTTTTGGGAAGGGAAAACCAGCAGCCTGGTGGGTAACAGGTTCTTGGTTGCTTCCTGGCCTGGTCACCAGTGTAGCATGAAGTTACCATTTCAGGTCCTACTGAAATACGGCAGGAGGTAACAAGGGAACCAGAGGTCACTGTTGCTGTAGATGCAAAAGGGGCCCGGCAGGGCACTGTAGCAGACCCCCAAAGTCTTCTTCTTGGGGACCAGGTAGGGTCACCTCCTCTCTGCAGTGAGAATCCAGGGAAGCTAATAGCACTTGGGAGATGGAAGCAGTGTTGAATACCCTTTCATTGCACAGGAGGAAACCAAGGGTCAGAGTGGGAAAGTGACTTTCCCATGATCACACAGCCATTTAAGCAGCAGAGGTGAGAACAATTTTTTTTGGATCCACTGGTGTTCACAGTCAACACCCTCTGCATTTTAGCCTAGATGTTGTCAGTCTCCGTTAAGGGCTTGGGCCCTGCTTAACTCCCCTGCTCCCAGCTCTGTGACTCAGGGTATAAGGTTTCACTCTCTGGCCTCAGCGGTCTCATCTCTGAAGTCGGATAGTAAACCCTACCTGTTGTAAGGATTAAAAGCAACATTGTATAGCGCATAACACAGTGCCTGGCACGGTCAGCTTCGACAACGGGTGGTTCTAACGACCATTAGCATTTCAAGGAAGGGTTGACATCCAGACCCCATTTGAACCCCCCCCTTAACCTACCCCCCTCCAGCCCCTCGGAGGAGCCCCATGCCAGCGCCGCGCAGACCCTGGGCTCACCTGGCGAGGCCAGTAGCACTTTGGCTCCGCAGCACTGGAAAGAGTGCAACAGGGACTTGCCGCGGATGTTGTAGTTGAGGCACGCCATGGCACAGCCCAGCTTGAGCAGCCCCAGCCACAGCCACACGTAGGCCGGCTCATTGCCCATGAAAATCGCCACGCAGTCCCCCTGGCGCAGGCCCAGGTGGTCGCGCAGCGCCCGCGCCACCTGGTTGCTGCGTCGGTCCACCTGCGCGTAGGTGAGCGTCTCGTCGCGGTAGAGCAGCAAGGGCTTGTGCGGGGTCTGGCGCCCTTTCTCCAGGAAGAGCTGCAGGATGGTGCGCACCGGCC